CGTGGGAGACCTGGAAGAGCTTCTGGCTCCTGGCTTCGGATCAGCGCAGCACTGGCTGTAGTGGTCACTTGGGGAGTAAATCAAGATCTTCCTGTCTCTCCTCCTCTCTCTATATATATCTGACTTTGCAATAAAAATAAATAAATCTTAAAAAAAAATTGTGTTCTCTGACCAGCATCTCTCCATTTCATCCACCCTCCAATTCCAGATTCCACCAACGACTGCCACGTCGTCTTTGTCTTTTCCGTTCCCGTGACACAATGCTCTCGAGGCTCAATCATGCTTGGCTCCATCATCACTGGAAGCGGCACAACTGACTTTCTTTTTGTGGCTGAATAATATTCCATTTCATGTGTCAGGTTTTCTTGGCCCATCAATCTGCCAATGCATACTTGGGTTGTTTCCACTCTTGGTGCCATGGTTTCTTATTACTGTAATACCCAGACTATTCGGGAAGCAAAGTTTGTTTCAGCTTGATGGCTTTGCAGGCTCACAGTGCAACATCCCGCAGCCTGCTTGATGCGGCATCTGTGAGGACAATGGGAGGTGAGCTGAACGCAGAGAAGGGTCACAGAGCCAGGATGGAAGAGAATGGATGGGCCAACTAAGGCTCATCTGTCTAGGAATTATCTCCAGTGCACCCAATGACTGAACAGCCTCCTTCTTAGCCAACCTCCCTAGTAATAGACTCAAACCCAGCCCGGCCCTAGCACCAGCAATTCCTCACTTGCAGGGTTAAATGTGTACATGAAGCAAAGTGCACACGATGTTCACAACACAGCACTTGGCTCTTGTGAATCACTCATTTTTTTTTTCAAGTATATAGCCAAAAACAGAATTGCTAGATCATACAGTCATCCTATTTTTATTATTATTTTTTTACTTGGAAAGGCAGCATAGCAGATCTTCCACTGGCTGGTTCACTTCTCAAATACTCACAAATAGCCAGGGCAGGACCAGGCTGAAGCCAGGAGACTGTGATTCCATCTGGCTTTTCCATGTGGATGGCAGGGATGTAAGCCATCATCTGCTGCTCCCCAGAGTGCATTAACAAGAAGCTGAATTCAAAGCAGAGGTGGGACCAAGCTCAGGATCTCCAATAAGGGTAGTAGGTGTCACACCCATTCGCTTTAACCACAATGCCCACCCTATTTTTATTTTTGAGATCTCAATACTATTTACAATAATGGTTCTATTAGTCACACTGTGTATTAATACACAAAGGCGCCTTTTTTCCATATCTAACACTTGTCTTTTATCTTTCTGTTACTACTCAACCTGATATGGTCATTGATCTTACGTCCCTTTTCATATGCCTTTGGTCCTTTGTACAAGGAAACAGACAGGTGTTTGACATAGTATTTAAAATGCCAATTGGGATGCCTGCACCCCTTATCGGAGCTTGAATTTGAGTCTTAGCTGTTTCTGATTTAGGCTTCTTGTACATGGTTCAGCCTGGAATGGCTCAAGTAGTCTTGCAACTCACTCTTCCTGAACTTGTAATTTCTATTTCCATTCTTTTTACAACTCACAAGGGGCCAGAGTTGTGGCATAGTGGGTTAGGCTATGGCTTGGGGCACTAGCATCCCAGAGTGCTGGTTTGAGTCTGAGCTACCCCACTTCTGATCCAGTTTTCTGCTAATGTGCCTGGAAAGGCAGCAGAGGATGGCCCAAGTACTTGGGTGTCTGCCACCCATGTGTAGTGCCTGGCTCCTGTTTCAGCCTGACCCAGGCCCTGCTGCTGTGGCCATTTGGGGAGTAACCCTGGGAATGAGAGATGTCTTGCTCTCTCCCTCAGCCACTCTGTCTTCAATACATAAGGCTTTTTAAATCAGTTCTTACTGAGCAAAATCTCAAGGACCCCTCTCTCCACCCAGGAAGTTGAGGTTGGGGCTAATTACTTAGTCTCCCTGATTAGGAGCTCATCAAGAGGTCCTCTGGGGTCCTAGCCTTTGTCACTTCATCAGTTTAGGTGTGAATAGAAGAAAAAAAGAAAAACCTTATCACTAAGGAAATTAAAACATATTTCTATTTTGCCACGTTTAAGTATATTATACCCCATTTTAAGCAAGTTGCAGTAAATTTAGGGTAGCTTTTACTCTGGCTAACTCAGCCTGACTCCTACCACATGACCCTGCTGGGACTCTGTTGAATGCTCCCAATGAGTGGTGTCCACTCCAGTAGCTGAGAACACGTCCCCCAGCCTGAGCTCCAGGAACTGATGCCCTAACGGCTCCCTAGTTCTGCCCGCCACGGTCTCTGCAACCCCCTCAACCAACTCCCATACACACTTCTCCAACACTTCCTCCACACAGCCCCCTGCTCTATGGTGTCCACCTCTTGAACTCGGTAAGGTGACTGCTTGGGATTCTTTCTGCAGTGCCTCTGTTATAAATTTAACTTTTCCCTTCAGAATCAATCAGTGAAATCCTCAAATCCCACTGGATGCATCTGGCAATAAAGGTCTTCAGGGAGGTACGGCACACAAGGCCCAAACAGCCGTATCACCATCACAAACCAGCCTTCACAGCACCTGATCCTGGGACTCCAAGCCTCCAGATTTCTGCCACTTTCTTTTTAAGATTTACTCAAGGCACAAAACAAGAAAGATCTTCATCTACTGGTTCACTCTTCAAATAGCTGAAAAAGCCAGGACAAAATCAGGAGCCTGGAATTCCAACCTGTTCTCCCACATGGTGGCGTAAGCCCAGCTCTTTATGCCTTCATGCTGCTTTCTGAGGCACGTGAGCAGGGAGCCAAACTGAAGGGAGAGCAGCTGGGACTCAAACTAGAGTACATATTGGATGCTGCCAACTCAAGCAGTGGTTTAAAGCAGCATGCTACAACGCTGGCCCAATTTCTGGCACTCAGACCACCAAAAATAACAAAATTTATTACTAGCAGAAGAAATTCTGGACCACATTATATAGCTTCTCTCAGAGTTTAAAGTCCTGCACTGCCTGTTGCCCAATTGGAGTTGTTTCAAACATCTGGTCTACCTCTGGCTGTTCATATCAGCAAGGGGCACTGGGTCCTATTACATGCAGAGTTACCCTTTGGAACACTGCATTCTTTTAAATTAATTATTACTTTTGACATTCCAAAGAATGGGAGAAAAACCATGATCTGTTAAAATCCCATCATGAAGCACCTGTGATAAAACTTCAGTCACTATCCATAATTCAAGTGCATCCAGGACAACCCGGCTGGAATGTGCATGAGCACCGTAAACATATCAGACAGACAAACATAAGTGGCAACAAGACTTCAAATCTCAGCAAGGCAAGGGCTCTAGAACCTACGTGTACCCGTAATAAATGAGAACATGGAGTTTCTGTTTCAGTTCAAGAAGACATTCATACCATTTTCCTTGAAATTACTAAGGGAATATTAGTCCCCTGATGAGCATCTAAGATCGGCGTCCTTTCTGAAACCAATACTCACAGGACATAAAACACACTGTCACTAGGGACTAAAGTCAAGATTGACGTGGTTACAAAGGGCAAGGATGACTTCTCAGAAAAACAACAGTCCCACCAGACCTCAGAGCACTTCCACTGCGCTGAATTTCATGTTCTCATGTGAAGGTTGGCTTACTAGCTAACCATCCACAAACAGACACCAAAAGGAATTCCCAAGGGCTAAAAGCTAAATTCTGCATGTGACACTTCAGATTTGAAGGTAATTCAAAGACAGTGCAAGTCCCGCATGGCACTCAATCCAGATATAACTCGGAAATACCAATGGAATAGATGTGAACACAAAAGGAAATGCTGCATTGTGTTGGAACTGAATAAATTACTAAGTTACAAATCCAACCTCTGACTACCAAAGGTCTGAGGCTATCAACGCCAGGACAATGCTTCTGTTAGAACCTTCGCTGCCTCTCCTCCCTCTTCTGCCTCCAAGGTCTTCAGCTCAGCCTTTAAAAGCCAGCTCTGAATTTACAACTAGTCTGCCAAGAGCCATGCTTTGTCTAGAACCTGTAGAATACAGCCATTGCCTCCACTCAGCTCTCACAGTCCTCAAGCATCTGTCCCAACCCACCCTCCTACTCTCCTCCCTAGCAGGTGACCCCTGCCTCCACCCCTACCCACACAGGCAAGGTGCAGCCCCTTTCCTTAAAGCGATTCTCCCAGAAGCCCCACACCTCCACTTCAGTGTTTTATCTCACCTTAAAGCGCTGCTCCTGCAGTGCAGCCGCCTCCATTTACTGAAGAGCCAGGCTGCAAGGGTGTAGAGCGGGTGCTCAACTGTACCTCTGTGCCACGACTTACTACTGCAGTATAAGCTCTTTGAATACAAGGCTCTTATTGCACATCTTCACAACCACTACTCCCCCACACAGTGGTTTAGCACACAGAAACTCACCCCCCCAAAAAAAGTTTCTAAAAAGCTAGATGGAAAAGCTGCTTTTGAAGAAGTAGGATTTCCAACAGAACTTTCAGACTGGGATCTGCTTGGTCCTCAGTACAAATTCCAAAGTTTTCACCCTCATCAACCTAAGAACAGGCAGCAGCCCAGAGGATTAGCAGGTTGCTTTCACTGTTGCAAGATACTTAGCTCTTCTGGTCTGGAATGTCAGCCACCTCTTGTGACTTATTAATACAACTGCTTTAGTAGAAACATACACAGAGAGAACCCAGAGCCGGCCTTTTTTCTTTCTTTTTTTGACAATCTTATTTCAAAGCTGCAAAAGCCTAATGGTTTATATATCAGACAAGCTACAATGTAATGCTGGTACCACTGCACCACAAAGCAAGATGCAGCAGATGCGTAACTCAGCCTAAAAGGACCTTTGGCATACTTGACTCTTACAGACTGGTGGCCTGCTAGGAACACTCGGCTGACACAGAATGGATCATTAACAGTCTTCCCAATGGACCAGACCTAACGCCAGTCTGTATTTGCCTCCAAGACACACTTTGTCATTTCCACATGTCTTCTGAACCTCACGGAAAAAGAAGCGAGGGATCAGGGAAATAAAGGTTCAGCTGAAGTTTGGCCAAAAAGGGAAAATAATTTATTTTGTTTCTCTCCACAGTTCAGATAGTGTGTTTCTCAGGAATTCTGGAAACTGGAGTTAAAAATGGACAGCAATGTAAGCTGGGCTCTCTGCCCCGCTCCGGCAGACAGCCCTCAGAGCTGCCGCCACTTCAGCAGCACAGAAGCACAAGTGGACCATAATAAGGCTTGAGAAGCAGTTTAAGTTCCGAGGGTGTCAGGATGAGGTGAAACGGTGAACACGGGATGGGGTAAGAAGCTATTACATGGAGATCAACACAGCAGTTAGTGACAATAACTTTTACAATGCAACATTTCCTATAACATCATCACGTAACATGCTCTAATATAGATTTAATTCCACAAAGTAGGAATTCCTTTCACATAAGCATTATAAAAGTTTATTTTCACAATTCTAAAGAGGTAAGTCCCCAAACTTTACAATTCCTCACTTATTTCTCCAAAAAGATATTAAAAAATAAATAAATAAAAAGCTTCAGAATATCAAACCATGTTTAAAAATCCTGCGGGCTAATGTTAAAATATGAATTATTTTAAATTATGACAATAATGGAATGTTGGCCAGTTAATCAAAGTTCCAAACTAACATTCAAAATAAGAAAGATCACTGGGATCTCATTACATTGTAAATCACTATAAGGCTGAACAGCTGTTATCATTAATAATCCTACTGCCTGAAGCAACTAACGCCATTTATATCCCAAAGCATACTTGTCTTGCACATTTTACAAACTGAGGTATAAAGCCATGTTTTACTAGCATTTTTATTAACATGATGAACAATTTCTTCCATAACGGCCATTATACTAAAATGTCCAATAACATTAGCCAACCCGCTGGCATGTTGTATGGACTTCTAATTAATACACTAGTGCACACACATGTAGAAACCATACAGTTATACCAATTTATAAGCAACAAATTAAATTGTTAGGAATATAAATTCAAATGTTTTATCAATTTATAAGCAATAAATTTAAAATGTTAGGAATATAATAAAACTACATTATAAATAGCTTACTTTCCATAGTTAAACATTTTTTATTCATGTCTCCCACTAGATTTTCTTCACTTAAGCTCTAGATTTAAATATGGCTAAACATAAAAGTGAACAGTGACAACAAAACAGCTGAATTTTGCAGTGTCTAAGTCACTTAAAGCTATTCTTCAAAAGACACGTCATTCAACCTAAGGCAAACCTGGAGAATCTTAGGTTCTTCATAGTCTGACCTGTCAGGTCATGGGACATTCAAAGCCCAAGTTTCGAATGTCTGTATACCATGAAGTTAGCTGTGTCACTGGTGGAATGTCAGCTGCAGACAGAGCCCTGGAAACAGTCAACAACACATTTCAACTTGCAGGAGATAAGGAGTTTGGAGTGTCTAACAAAGATTATTTTCAGCTTTCTCAGAGGTAAAAATGGGATTACCACTAATAATAATCTCTAAGAAAATTTGACCTTTAACTGTAATATTTCCTATCACTACACGAAGAAGTTGAAACTGTTAATAGATGACCTAAATTATTAACAAAAGGATAACCCTTAATCAATTTTGTGGCGTGAGCTAGCAGACCAACTTCCAGCACGGTAAATTAGGTCTTACAACATGTAAGTCCAAGAACTATTTCAATAAGTTCATGGAAAACAGAATTAAAGATGTTTATTCTGGTGCAAAAAAAAAAATCATAATCTGTGCATAGCTTTTCCATAATATGCATTTTCACTAATTTTGATATTCTTCATCTGTATAGATTTCATCTTTTTACATCAAAATAAACTTACTTTTAACTCCACTTTCCATGAATCATTAAAACATCCTCCAAACAGATCTCAAAAACAGCTGTGTTAGACGAAACCAAGGCTGAATTGAATGACCTCATGACCTTCAATCCCTTCTAACACACCTACGCCTCCCACTGGCTTTACCACTGTATTCCAATTTCAAAGTTGTATGTTGTACTGATACAATATTATTATTTTTCCACACTATAGACTTATTGCTGCTAAGTTATTCTTACAGTCCATCAGTTTAACTTTGTTTAAACTGCCATTATAGAAATATTAAATGTTTTCCAATTATATTCCTCAAATATAGTTCTAAAATATGAGACAAACTAGCAGAAGTGATCCCCATTCAATTAATATCAATGTTGCAAAGATTCAACTGAGTGAATTTCAGCTATCCTAAAAATGGGGAGTGTACCTCAAGTATGTGCCTTATGAAATTATCTGATAGTGAAAAACAAAAATTTGGAGAGCCAACTGTTAAATTCAATGTTACCAGGTATACTGAGCAACAAATTCAAACTTTTTTTATTTAAATGACATCTACTTAGTTTTTTATTTAGTTGAGTAGAAAGGCCCAGTTAATCAACTCATTAGACTGGTCAAGGCAAGACACTTGCACTACATAATAGGGCTTAAAAAGCAGTTGGTATTATGGTAGTTCTCTGGCAAACACACACACACACACACACACGCACACACACACGCAAATTGATAGAGTACTCTGGATATTAGATTTCCCCCTATAGCTTTGTACAATAAGCACTGTTCACAATTTGCAGTATTTTGAAAACTATATAAATTCGAATGGCCAAATCAGAGATGTCTAGTTGAACTCTTTATAAAGTACTTGGGAACTTCAGCTACATTCCCAGACTGATTTTTTTCAAACCATAAAAAAAATTCATACAAAAGCACAACTGATGTAACAGGAATCTTTGAAAATAAGCCAACTTTAACTCAATTTTCTTTTTCAAATATGACTAAGAAAGAAAGTTACAAGTAACGTCTACATTAAAAAAAAACACTATTAACTAGATGAATTTAAGAGGGGGAGAAAACTATACAGTATTATTGCACTCCGTGAAATGTGCAGAATTCCAAAATGTGCTAGCACTGAAACACTCTCTTGCATCGAGGTTTCCCAAGTACAACGAGCCTGCGAGAAAAGCATCTGGTCTGTACTAACAGCTTGCTGTCTTCAGTACAGGCCTTCATAGTGTCAGTCACGCTGCTCTTGCAAAATCCCTCAATGTCTGAAAAACACACAGAAAACATAATTTTGTTGTAAAACTCACTCTCACAAAGTCAGAAAGTCAATTCACTGATCAAAACATAAGAACTCTTAAGTTAATCAATATTCTCCACTATCAAAGATTAGCTTAAAAATTTCTATCTTGAGCATATTAAAAGAATTTAGATGTTCTTAGGAACTAATTACTTGAAGATAAGGAGAATACACTTAAAACACCACAGCACACTATACCAACCCTGGTCATGAGCGGTTCAGAATAAAGGGATAAAATAAAGTTACACACCAAATAATTATTGAAGATAAAATCATCAACACAACTTTATTTTTTGGCAGGTCCAAACTCTCTTGAAACAGAAATTATTAAGGCACAGATTGCTCGTTTAAATGGAGCTGGAAACCGAAGCAACAAGACACGTTGTCATCACCAGCGTGCCGGTGCACACACAGTCACGTGTATCTTTACTTACAAAAGAGTTCCCAGTGCCGTGGGGGGGCTACGACCGATGGTGCGGGATTGAGTCCATGTGCACGTTGAGCTTCATTTCATTGTCGAGAATTTGAACCAGCTGTTGCATGGACGGAAGGTGACCAGATTCCAGTTTAGACCACACAGGCACACCTGTAAAAACAAAGCGCAACCACGCCCGAAAATCAATAATGCCACCCACAGACATCCAGCCACAGACATCCACCCACAGATATCTGCTTGACCGGATATGGACATAACCAGTGAAACAAGAGCAAAAAGCTATAAACAAAAAGTCACTTGCTTTTTTTTCTTTTTTTTAAGATTTGTTCTTATTGAACAGGCTGAGTTACAGAGTGAAGGAGACACAGAAAGATCTTCCATCCACTGGTTCACTCCCCAAGTGGATACAATGGCCAGAACTGAGCCAATCTGAAGCCAGGAGCCAGAAGATTCTTCCAGGTCTCCCATACAGGTACAAGGTCCCATGGCTTTGGGCTGTCCTCAATTGCTTTCCCAGGTCATAAGCAGAGAGCTGGAAGGGAACTGAGCAGCCAGGATTAGAACCAACGCCCATATGGGATCCTGGGCATGCAAGGCAAGGACGTTAGCCACTAGGCTAAAGCACTGGGCCCACACCATTTGCTCTTAACTTACATTCTTTGTAGGGGAAATGCCAAAAAAACTGGCTAGAACCATACCTGTGTACGAAGAATTAAAAACAAAATGTGCTTATAGTCAAATGAGAGGCGCATAGAAGAGGTTTTTAAAAACAATGAAAAATGTGTATTAAGAACAAACAGTGCAGACCCAGCACAGTAACTGGAAGATGGGAGATCTTTGTCTCTCTCTGTAAATCTGTTTTTCCAATAAAAATAAATCTTAAAAAAAAAAACTGCACAGATTTCAAGATTTTTTGTACCAAAATAGATGCTTCCTGTTTTTGTTTTAAAGGGTGTGTTTTTATGTGAAAGGCAGAGCTAGAGAGAGAGAGTTGGAGTAACAAAGAAAGAGCTTCCACCCCTGGTTCCCTCCCCAAATGGTCACAATGGCTGAAGATAGGCCCAGTTGGAAGCCAGGATCTTTTGATCCATTCCATTTGTTCAGAGGCTCAAGCATTTGGGCCATCTTTTGTTGCTTTCTGAAGCCATTAGTGAGGAATGAGATTGGAAATGGAGCAGCCAGGATGAGCAAGTGCCCATGTAGGATGCCAGCAGGCAGAGGCTTAACCTGATACGTCGTGGCACAGTTCATCTCGTTTCCTTAATTTACAAGGTACAGAAACAGAGATTTCCCACCTATTGGTGGGCTCTCCAAATGCCTAGGAGTCTCCAAATCCTATCGCTGGGACATCACACTGTGTCCCAGGACCTGCACTAACAGAAGTCAGGCTCAGGTGTTGCCAGCCGCATCCGTATGCACTGGCCACATGCCGTACCCAAAATGGCGCCGGCCAGAGAAATCACACCTTGGTGCCTGGTGGAGAGTCATGTAGCTTTCGCGGTACTGCGCAGGCGCCTAGCACATGCGCAGTGAGCTGCAGCGTGGCCGGCGCATGAACACTGGGGACTGACGAATCCAGTCACCCAGGACCCTGAGTGATCATGATGCTGACCTATCATCAGCGGAGGCGGGGCCAGTTAGCACATAAGAGCAGACAGCCTGCCGGGGTCGGAGCCCTTTCCTCTTCCTCATCTTGGTGTGCACAATATAGACTACCACAGAAGGCTTCACTTGCGTCTGCCTCTTACTGCTGGACGATAGGAGTCGTGGGCGCGACAACTGGTGCCGAAACCCAGGACCTGGAGGGGGCCTCCCGTTTTGGACGGGATGAAGTCAGAACTGCGGCCATTAAACAGGTAAGGAGCTCTGAGAGGGAGAACTTTTGGGTGACTGGGAGCATAAATCGGAGGTATATGAGCCGCTGCTCCTGGTTACAGACATGGGCGCACAGGTCTCTCTAGTGAAATTTTTGCAGACGGTTTATGCCCGCTGTAAGGGAGCGGTCAGAGAGAGTGACAAAGCCCTTCAGTCTGCCCAGGATAGTCTCTCAGAAACAGAGCGGGAGAGGAGAACCGGTATGAAGCAAAAAAGAAAGGTGAAACTGAAGGTGGGATCTTCCTCATCAAGTTCGGAGACGTCTGACGCTGAGGAAGGGTACAAGCGGGATAGGCGCATAGAACGCAAACAACCCGCTGAAAACAGACGAGGATTAGAAAAGGAGAAGAAAGATAATGGCGGTGCTACTGCGCCGGCCACGCTCGACCCATGGCCTCAGGGCTCTGGAGCCATTTCACCAATGGCCCCTCCTCCTGTGACGCCATCTGCCCCGCCCATGAGTTATGGTGCCGACTCTTCCTTCATCGATCCAGCCACGCACCAGGAACTTCAAAATATGTTCCCCGTCTTAGAAGAAGAAGGGGAAAGAGTTTACAGACAGGTAGATGCATTATTAGTGCGAGAATTGGCCATGTCTGTAAAGCAATATGGTCTTCATGCCAATTATACATTGTCCCTGTTAGAACGTATGGGGAGAATGAATATGACTCCCTCTGATTGGCAATTTGTGGTGAAGGCTGTTCTCCCTAATATGGGATCATATCTAAATTGGAAGGGCCTATGGCAGGAGCTTTTGGCTGAGACCGCCCGCGCAAATCAACGGAGCGGCGGCGAAGCTTTGACATGGACTTATAATATGCTTTCCGGACAAGGCCAATACTCTGATGATCAAAATAGCTATCCATGGCCAGTGTATACCCAGATTTCTGCCGCAGCTATAAAGGCATGGAAGGCCCTTTCACTTAAAGGGCAAGAGAAACTGGGCATTGCACAGGTTAAGCAGGAGCCGGATGAGCCCTTTGCTGATTTTGTGGCACGTGTAATGCAGGCCGTGGAAAGGACCTTTGGAGAAGGAGATCAGAACACTAAAATGGTAGAGCAGATAGTTTGGGAGCAGTGTAATGCAGAATATAGAGCCCTACTCAAGGATCGTAAGTCCAGGGGAATTTCAGATTGGCTAAAGGTTTGTAGGGATACAGGAGGCCCCTTAACAGCTCATGGACTAGCAGTCGCCATTTTGAGGTCTAATCATAGAGAGAGAGCATCACCCGTGTGCTTTCAGTGTGGCAAACCAGGGCATATGAAAAGAGAATGCCGTGCAGGGCCTAGCAATAAGCCTCCTGGGATATGCCCGCGGTGCCGCAAAGGTAGACATTGGGCCAATGAGTGCAAGTCAGTGAAGGACATAGAAGGACGCCCTCTCTCGAGCCAGGAGCCAAAACACCCCTTAAGCCAGGAGTCAAAAAACGGGAGATGGGGACCGAAGGCCCAGGTCCCCTCGACCGATCGGGCACTCTTCCTCTTCCGTCAGGCACGAGGGAACCCTGCCAGGAGCGACACCCCGCAAGCCTGGACCTCTGTGCCGCCACCGGAGTCCTCTTAAAACCAGAGGACGGCATTACGCCGGTACCGGTCATCTTAACAGACACGGTACCACCTGGTGCGGTCGGGCTTGTGATAGGCCGAGCAGCCTTGAGCTCTCAAGGTTTTATTGTAACAACTGGAATTTTACATCCGGAAGCTAGCTCCTTTTCAGTGCTGTGCTCAGTCGCACGAGGTGCTTTTGCTGTCGCGCCAGGTGATCCTATAGCCCAACTTATATTTTTACCAGCTTTGAGTGGTGCAGATAAGACTGTCCAGACCCAAGTAGAGGTTCCTTATATAAATTTAATGATGGATATGGTCGATAGACCCATGCTTGAGTTGCAAATAGAGAATAGACCGTTTATGGGGCTTTTAGACACAGGAGCTGATAAGAGCATCATAACCTCTAAGTATTGGCCGTGTGATTGGCCTTTGATTCAAACTTCTCATAGCCTATGCGGTCTGGAGTTTGAACAAGCTCCATCCCAAAGTGCCAGAGCCCTACAGTGGAAGGATAAGGAAGGCAATTGTGGGACAGTCACACCATATGTCCTGAACCTACCGGTTTGCCTTTGGGGAAGAGATATTCTTAAACAAATGGGGGTACGACTAGTCTCAGGTGCCTCCGGTTATTCTGAAGTCTCTCGAAAGCTGATGGATAAAATGGGCTATATTCAAGGAAAGGGTTTAGGCAAACAGAGTCAAGGTATTGTCCAGCCAATTGAATCCTGGGGAAATCCAGGCCGTAAAGGTCTGGGTTTTTAGTAGCGGCCATTGGCATGCAGCTGCCCATACCTTGGAAAACAGCGGAGCCGGTTTGGGTTCCCCAATGGCCGCTTTCTCTTGAAAAATGCCAAGCTGCTCAACATTTAGTTCAGGAACAGCTACATTTGGGACATCTAGAGCCCTCTGTTTCTCCTTGGAATACTCCTATCCTTGTTATCAGAAAGAAATCAGGAAAGTGGCGCCTCCTACATGATTTAAGAGCTGTAAATGCACAGATGCAGTGCTTTGGTCCCGTTCAACGTGGCCTTCCAGTTTTGTCATCCCTCCCTAAGCAATGGCCGTTATTAGTGATTGATTTGAAGGATTGCTTTTTTTCTATACCATTAGTATTGAAGGATAGGGAGAGGTTTGCTTTTACTATTCCCTCCATTAATCATGAAGAGCCGGATAAGCAATATCAATGGAAAGTTTTGCCCCAGGGGATGGCTAATAGTCCCACCATGTGTCAACTTTATGTTGCCCAAGTGTTACAACCACTGCGAGATCGTTTTCCAGCGGCCAGCGTCGTCCATTATATGGACGATGTTTTAATTTGTGCTCAAGAGCAAGATCAGTTGTTACAGATTTATGTTGATCTGAAGCGGGCTCTACAGGATTATGGCCTTATAATTTCATCCAGGAAGGTTCAAATGCAGCAGGTGAAAGCCTTCTTAGGGTCTTTAATTACAGAAACATATATCAAGCCTCAAAAGATAAGCCTCAAGATTTCTCATTTGCGAACTTTGAATGATTTTCAGAAATTAGTGGGGGATATTAATTGGTTGCGACCTTTCCTTAAGATCTCTTCTCAAGAGTTACGGCCTTTGTTCGCTCTACTTGAAGGCGATTCTGATCTCACTTCCAGGCGAACCCTCACCCATGAGGCACAACAGGTCATAATAAAGGTCCAGGAAGTTATTGAAAAGGCTCAATTAGTACGCCTAGATCAAAATCAGCCTTTTGAG